ACGAAGAGGCCTGTCAACAGCAGAGCTCATTTACTCCTGTCAGCCCACACCCAGGGCAGCACAGCTTGAGGACCAGGACCTTAGAGGAAAGCAAACCCAGGAAGCAGATGCTTCCCTCCATGTCAGGTGCCTAACCGGCCCTTATGGAGTGTGATGTGCAGTTCCAAGGAGAGGGAAGGACGTGCTGGGAAGAATGTGGAAAATTCTCAGGTGGTCAGCCCCTTGCAAGGCCTTAGGCAAATGGGTATGGCCACAGGGTCTTGAGTATGGACAGGTAGGTCACCATGGAAGGAGGTACCTGTACCCACACCATTAGCCTCATCCTGCAGCCAACAAGGTAAATAGGACTCAGTGCCTATTTGTGAATGCAAGGAGATGGGTGGGACCTGCTCTCTCCTGTGCTGAGAAGTAGCACCTCTTGCCACACCAAGGGAGGAGTGGATCTGATGTGGGTCCTCTAAATTTTCTGAGTGGGGTTCTATGACCTGGCTTTTCCTCACAGAAGCAAAGGGACCCAGGAATCACACCTGTATGGGGTTGGTGCCAACCGAATTCTGGAAAGCCAATGAGTGGAGACACACAGTTCAAGTAGTTGTCCTATATGCCCTAATTGTTCTAAATTGGAGAAGTTTGCAGAAGCTTCCAGGTAACTTGCACAGAATAGGAGAACTATTTGTACCAGAAACAAAAACATAAGAAGACAACCATAGGAGTAACAGTGAAAGTGGGGAAACCTGTCCAGGCTTTTGGAATTGGAAGAGGAACGGGAGATACAGCCATAGCTCTGAAAGGTCCCAGAAGGGCAGGACGAAAAGGCCTGTCGACAGCAGAGCTCATTTACTCCTGTCAGCCCACACCCAGGGCAGCACAGCTTGAGGACCAGGACCTTAGAGGAAAGCAAACCCAGGAAGCAGATGCTTCCCTCCATGTCAGGTGCCTAACCGGCCCTTATGGAGTGTGATGTGCAGTTCCAAGGAGAGGGAAGGACGTGCTGGGAAGAATGTGGAAAATTCTCAGGTGGTCAGCCCCTTGCAAGGCCTTAGGCAAATGGGTATGGCCACAGGGTCTTGAGTATGGACAGGTAGGTCACCACCATGGAAGGTACCTGTACCCACACCATTAGCCTCATCCTGCAGCCAACAAGGTAAATAGGACTCAGTGCCTATTTGTGAATGCAAGGAGGAGAGTGGGACCTGCTCTCTCCTGTGCTGAGAAGTAGCAACTCTTGCCACACCAAGGGAGGAGTGGATCTGATGTGGGAATTTGGCCTTTGTGTGTGCAGCTCTGCCCCTCTGGGCTCTCTTTGAACGACTTCTGTCTGCCTCCCTGCAGGACATGGATGTTACGTTGTGTTCCAGTTGCAAGGAGGCAGGTAAGCTCACAGGAGCTGAGCACTCCACTGTGCAGCCAGCATACAGGCTGTACAACCTTAGGGGTGCCATTCCATGTCCTTGAATTTAATTTTATTGACAATAAAGCTGATAGTTGGGTCCTTATCTAACTTCTATGTCTATTTCTCTTTGCTTTGATTCTTGGGGGGAAGGGTTATTCAAAATCTAAATAGGAAACTCCTGCTGGTAAATCAAATGGGTCCTTTCTCTGGCCACTTCTTGGGGAAGTTGGAGAACATTGACATCATAAATAGAACTATGGGGAGTGATTGAAAGTGAATCACAGCTAAACTCGCAGAGGCAATGCATGGCTATAAACTATGCATTGACCTTGTAATAATTCTCCCTATATTCCTAGTAGGTGCCATACTATATTGGGAATAACTAGTGTAAGTGATAGGATCTTATGTTAATGTATAAAAATAAAATTTAGTAAGCATAATTGTAAAGTTCTCAACTTAGTTCTAAAAAAGAAACTTCACAAATATGTAATGAGACAGTATAGCTACACCTAAAGGAAGATACATTAAATGTAAAGAAAATTAGGGTTTGCCAGTAACCTCTATGATCATAAATGTGAATGCCAATCAGAACTACAAACACAGCAATTAGAGTCCCATCCTATCTGCCCTGGTGGAATCACTCGAGAATGTTAAGGCCAAGCTGAATGTGACACTTTGAGCAGGACACAGGACAAACTGGAGTAGGCCCACAGAGACAGTGCAAGGTGGTGAGGAAAGGGACCAAGGGAATGGAGAATGGGGTTATATATCCTGGCGAAAGGAGGCCTGCGAGGAAGAATGGTGGCCATCTTTACATAACCAAGTGGTGCTCACATGGAAGAGGAAGGTAATGTGGCTCTCAGAGGACCGAATGTTGAATATAAAGAAGAGTTGCCCAGCAATTAGGTACAATTGGAATAGAATGCATCCTGCATAGTGAGTTCTTAGTTATTAGAGTCTAGTAAAGAGAATGCCATGCATTAGGTAAGAATTGAATGTGGTTAGGTACTATGTAGGCATCCGGGTCTGATGTGCTGTGATTCTCATAATTACTCATATGATACTTATCTATCACAGCCTTGAATTGTTATAAATATTAATTATAAATGTGGATTCTCTTCTCTTTTCCTACTAGTTCACTCATGGGGCTTAACTTACTGCCTTTCGCTTGAACATAAATATTTACTGAATGAGTGAATAGTAGACACTAAGTATTTTTGATTACGGTGATGAGAGGCTCAGTAGTATTTGACTAGTGGATTACTAAACAAAGAAGAATATTAGGCATTAGCAGAGTTTTTTTCTCATACTATTTCTTAACATAAGCAATTTTCCCTAATTTGGTAATATTTCTCTTTAACATTCTTTACTTAAGAGTTGAACACAATATGCCGAACAGCCTTGAGGCATCTTCCTGTTTGAAAAAGAGAAATATAGTTTACATTTTGCAAAGGATGCTCTCATCCATTATTTCTTTATAATCCTCAGAATAACATGATGAGGTTGACATTTTCCAAATGAGGAAACAAGGCCCAGAGATAGAAAGGCACTTGCTCAAGGACACAAAGCCAGTAAGTAGCAGAGCCTGGACCCAGGACAAGGTCCATTAATTCTAAATTGCATGCTCTTTCCACTGTAAGTCAAATGCCTCCAACAAAGGTCCCGAGCAAGAGGAAAGGCTGTGTGCTTCCATCTGGTTATGCTGGTCAGACCCACCTGCCCCTCATTTCCCCCTTGTGCCTCTCCTCTCAGTGCCCTGCAGTCAATAAAGACAATTGTTCACAGGAGACAGGGCTCTGGTTTGCCTGGATTCTGAGCTGATTGTGATGTTATGTGAATATGACCACAACATAACTTGTCTTTATAAATATCCATTCCTCGCAGGCTTGTGAAACTACTCGCTTGAAGTCTGAGTCTGTTTGGCAGGGAGACAGGGACAGGGCAGCTGTAAGTTGGCACAGTTACCCTAGGCTAGTCCATCGCAAGGCACCTCACTTGAAGGAGGGCTGGAAGCTGGTACTGTGGTTTGATACCAGGACTGCGGGCAGCTCCCACCTTGTGACCTGGGATTGTAAGGTGATCTGTGAAAAGAGGCTTTGAAATATCATTAGACATGCTCCGAGGGTGTGCTTGCTGCTGCTTAAGTGCTTTGGAAAAGGGACTTCTAGTAAATGTGTTCAGTATTCTCCTTTCCTTTTCCATCACATCTCTCACCGTTTTTTCTTCCTTCTTGAGAAAACAGCCAAAAAATAACATGTTCTCATAATAATCAGATGAAGTTCCCTCACATTAATTCATTCAATAAACATGAGCACTTTCAGTGTGCCTGATGCTTGGCTCAGTAATAAAAATATAGAACTAAAAATGGCTTTTTATGCAATCAGTGAGGTAAAGTCTAGTGGGAAAGATGAACAGTTAAAATAGAAGGTTACTAGTACTATTACTGAGGTATTTGAAAAATGCTATAATTGGTATTACTGAAGAAATTCTCAGAAGCAGAGGAATATAAATGATAATCTCTGTATAACAAACACTTTTTCAAACAGAATAAGAGCAAGCCTAAATTCGTGAAAAGACACCAACATTTCAATGTATCTTTAAAAATCTCTCTCATTTTTTAAAAGTAATTTTCTTAGTTTGAATAAAAATTTGCAGCAGAAACAACTAGTGATCATTTCTGGAACAAAACTTCCCCTCCTAAGGGCTTTAATTATTGTTTAAATAATTTTGAGGGGTGGGGTTCCATAGACAGATTTATTAGAGGCCTCAGGTCTGGGACAAATCTACAGGCTCTTCTCCCTGCTACTGCCACCAAATGTCCATTGTGACCGAGTGTGGATTTCATTATAGAACAAAGTAATGCCATTTTTAACACTTTATATTTTCCCTGGAGTTTCTACTTGCCTTTATTTTATTCTTGAAGTATTTTTTATATTCTTTAGGCACAGATATCCTCCTGGTTTTTCCTTTTATAATCGTCTTGAGTTAAATCCACTGTTTCTTTGTAGCCCCCTTCACACACTTCCATTACAGATCATTGCCCAGAATATAATCACATGGGCAACTGAATGCAAAAATAAAATCCAATTTGTCATCTATTGATATATATCTTCAAGTAGCTTTCTGTGTCAGTTTGGATTAACTGTAGCTGCATCTAAGAGAATAATTAATAATAAATGTAACATAAGAAAGATAAAATTTTATTTTTCCATTACAAGGAGAAATTTGGCAGTACAGAGGGGCCATGGTGGGCTGATTTGTCATCAGAAACATGGTTTTCATCTTTCTTTTTCATTATCCTCCTCCATGGCTTTCATTCTCAAGGAATCCAATCAAGTCAAAATGAATGTTAGAACTCCAGCTACCATGCCTACAAATCAGAAGAAAGAATAAGCAGGAAACAATCTCTCTCTTTTATGAGTATCTCCTTGCAGCCCCTTCACAACACATCTATAATAATAAAAGCACAATATGCTAATTAGACCAAACAGCCAAACGACCTTCCAGATGTCATTCTGGACGTCCTTCTGGATGAAGCCGCCATGGTGGGGGCCAAAGCAGAGGCGGTTAGGGGTGATCAGGCAGGCAGGCAAGCAGTTAGGGGAGATCGGGCAGGCAGGAGAGTGGTTAGGGGCAATCAGGCAGGCAGGCAGAGGGGTTAGGGGCCATGAGGTAGGCAAGCGAGTAGTTAGAGGCAATCAGGCAGGCAGGCAGAGTGGTTAGGGGTGATCAGGCAGGCAGGCAGGTGAGTGATTAGGAGCCAGCAGTCCTGGATTGTGAGAGGGATGTCTGACTGCCAGTTATGGGCAAATCTTATGCCCAACACTATTATCCTCTAAACTGGCAGTTGGACATACCCTGAGGGGTCCTGGATTGTGAGAGGGTGCAGGCCGGGGCTGAGGGACCCCTCTCCCTTGTGCATGAATTTCATGCACCAGGCCTCTAGTCTACTATAAGTCATTGGACAGAACTTGATCATTAGCCATCCATAGCTGCAAGGGAGGCAGAGAAATGCAATTTTCTTTAGCTTAGCTGAATACGTCTAAGCAAAGGCTGTTTTCCATCGCTGACCTAGGAAAAAAAAAAGAATGGGTCATTGTGTGGAACAGATTTCTACCTGTTTCATGTCTTAAAATATCTTTACTTTGGTCTTACATTTTTTTCAGACTTTGGCAGAGTATAGAATTCCAAGTTGAAAATAATTTTCATCAGAACTTTGAAAGTATTTTTTCTACTATAACCTAGCATTCACTATAATGATAGCAGGTCAATCCTACAGAGGTATCACATTTATCTAATTTATTTATTTATTTCATCTCTGCAAGTGTTTAGCTCTTTATCCTTAGTGTTCTGAAATTTAACAATGATTTTTCCATTTATCATTTATCATATCTTTTAGCTCTTCGAAATCATGTTCCATTATCTCTTTGATAGTTTTCATTCACTTTCTCTATCTTTTCCTTCTATAACTTCTATTCTTGACTGTTATGCCTCTTGCATAAGTCTTGTGTCACTTATCTTTTCTGTCATATTTTTGTCTCTACTTATTTCCATTCTACTTTACAGAGAAAGGTATCTTGGAAATGTTTTTCTTTAAATCCTTCAACCCAATTTTTCGACTGCAGTTTGTTTTTGCTTTGGCAGGTTATTGTAATCATCAAGATCTCATTCTTGTTCTCTGACTCTTCCTTTCTCATAGGACTCTGTGATGCTGTGAATGCAGTATTAGCTTACATGTCTCTGAGTGAATAAATAAAGGTTTTGGTCTGTTTTTCTTTATTATTTAATATCTCTATTTCCTTTGAAAACTTTGTTTATGTTAGAATCAATCTCTTGTCATATTTCATTCTTCAAATATTTCATGATCTTTGGTTTTCTATTCATATTTAATAATGAAGACATGTAAGAATTTCAGTTAATATAGCTCATGAAAGAAATTCTAACCACTGTAAACATTATGCAGTAATAGACCACACACACACGAGCTTGAAAGTAGGAAAGGAAAGCTTGCAGCTTTCAAAAACAGAAAAAAAAAATTCAAAACCATAGCTAAGTATGAAAATAAAAGGAAAGTGGCCTACTGGTATAGGGGCAGCAGATTTGGTTATAAAATAAATGCCTAGGGGAGGAAGTTTTAAGATCAAGGCCCTTAGACACAATGAAGTGACCTTGACCTCCTGAGTAAGGCTCTGAGCCTGGGAGAACCTGATTGGAATCCAACTAACCGCTCTGAATAATATGTGATATAAGATTTATCCACACAAAATTGGAAATCCAAGTCTAGGCAGCGGAAGATATGGAGTTAGAATTCACACTCCACTTCTAAGAAAGAGATTTCAAGCAGATAACAAGCATAGTATCTGCTCTGGGATTAGTGATACCCACAGAGTCTTAGCAAAGGCAAAATTTAAATTTGCCCCAAATAATTATTCTATAGAATAGAGTATCAAGTCTTACCATGGCAAAAAATAAAAAAATCAATACAAAGGAGGAAAAGGAAGAGAAGAAGGAAGACAAGGAGGAGGAGAATTATAAATAAAAAATCATAATGAGATTTAGCAAGTACAACAGATAGAAAAATTAAACCCCATGAACTATATAGGTAATAAACCAATTTGAAAAGAGAAGTTTAAAAATGGCAATCTGGAAAAATGAATTTCTAAAACTAAAAAATATAGCTAAAATTTTCTAATTTCGATGTACATTATAAACCCGACAGATTTGAGATGGACAACAAACTCCAAACAGAATAAATAAAAAGAAGCCACAGCACATCATAATCAAGTTGCTGAAAGCCAGTAATAAAGAGAAAAATCTTAAAAGCTGCCAGAAAACAAAGCCTCATCATATACAGAAGGATGAGATTAGAATGACCACAGATCAGAAATGATGCAAGACAGAGCACAGTGAAATGACATATTTAACATGCTAAAAGGGAAAAAGTGTCAACCCACAACTCTATATCCAGTGAAAATATTCTTCACAAATGAAGGTTAAATAAGGCCATTTCTAAAAAAGCAAAAACTGAGAGAGTTTATTGCAATCAATGCCACACTACAAGAAATGTTAAAGGAAGTTTCTCATGCTAAAGAATAATGTTTAAAAAAACACACACACTCAGATTTAGACCAAGAAATAAAAAACACTGAAAACGGTAACTATGGGAATTATAAAAATATGTGTATGAAGCCTTTTCCTTATTCTTAAAATTTCTTTAAAAGATAATTGGCTGTTAAAAATGTATTATGCATTTTACAAATATGTAGAAATAAGATATATGACATTTTGTAATAGTACAAAGGATGATGGTGGGAATGGATGCATACTGTGTGAAGGTGAGACTTTCATTGGAAGTAATATTAAAGACATACTATATAAGTTGAACATTATTTATTGTAAACCCTAGAATAAAAAGATAAGTTGGAATACTAAAGCTACTAAATGAATCATTAAGAAGGCAAGAAAAGACAATGTAAACACAGAAAAAATAGTACAAATAGAAAGCAAACAGCCAGATGGTAGAATAAAAACCAAATATACTGATAATTTTATTACATCTATATTCGCTAAACACTCCATTAGAAGGCAGAGATTGCTCAACATTTTAAGAGCAAGAAGCACCTATATGCTATAAATGGAACAAATTTAAATACAAAGACATCGGTTAAAAGTAAGAGGAGGAAAAAAGATAAATCATACAAACACTGAGATAGCTATATTAATAACAAAGTAGTTTTCAGGATGAAAAATATTATCTGAAATATGGCAGGACACTTAAATGCTGAAAATGACAAATGCATCCAGAGTATATAATCATTCTTAATGTGTGCACAGCATCTATTAACAGAGCTTTACAATACATAAAGCAAAACTCACAGACTCAAAGGAAATATAAAAATTCACAATTGTAGTCGGAGATTTTATCATTCATCTCTTTGTAATTAATTTTAATGTATAGATAGAATCCACAAAGGCATAAAAGCCAAACAAAAGTATAAAGCAACTTCTATTAGTTGACATTTATAGGACAATGTACCAACTATAGCAGTAGACACATTCTTTATAAGTACACATAAAACATCCACCATGCTAGACTATGACCTAAGCTGAAACATTTAGAAGGATCAAAGTCACAGAGTATATATTCTCATACATACATACAAATAATAGGAAATCAATACCAAAAATAATCTGGAGAATACCCAAATATTTTGAAATTAAACAAGGCACTTCTAAATATCCACAAATCAAAGAAGAAATCACAAAAGACATTATTAAGTATTTTTAAAAGAATTATATAAAAATCACCACATATCAAAAAGTGTGAGGTGAAGTTAAAACATTATTTAGAAAGAAATGTATTGCTTTATATAATTATATCAGTGAAGACAGTTTTAAAATCAATTATCTAATTTTCCATATTAGCAAAGTAAGAAAAGTAACTCAAAATAAGTGAATGGAAGAATAAAGTAAGAACCAAAATTAATAAAATAAAACACATACACACATGAGAGAAAAATCAACGAAAACAAACCTTGTTTTCAGAAAACATTAAACAAGTTAATTAACTTCTAATAAACTCCTGGATCATGGATTAGCAAAAGGACATTAGTGGGGCAAACAATAAAATGTTAGTAATGTAGATTAGAAGTATTGTCCAGTTAGTTTTCTGGTTTTGATAATGGTATTTTAATTATATAAGAAGTTAACATTTGGGGAAGCTGGATGAAAGGTATATAGAAACTCTGTGCTATTTTTTGACAACTTCTTTGTAAGTCTGAAATTATTTCAAAATGAAAACATTTTTAAAAAGAGAGAACTTCTGTTTTTGAGAGACTATTAAGAAATCAAAAGGACAAGCTGATGATTGGGAAATATTTGTAATACACATATCTGACAAAGACTTGTATCTAGAA